TTGACCAACCAAATGTGAAAAACCGGGCGGTTGGTGTTCAGTTTATTGAATAATATCAGCGATAACAGGAGCGGGGGGATTAGTTATTGAGAGAATGGAAGAAGGAAAGGGAAGAGGATGCTGAATGGGATACTGAATGTTGCTGGATCAGTTGCTCCTATCGTTAAAGGTGTTCGTCCCATTTAACTTCTTAGTTTCCAGTTTCCATCTCCATCGATCATTGAATTAGTTAGTTAGATAGGTAGTCAATCAGTCAGTTAGTTTAGTTTGTACGATGAGCTACCAACAGTATAATATCAGTTCAAGAAAGACGAATTATAATATATTGTCTATGTATCTATGTATGTATAAGTGTGTATGTGTGTATGTGTATACGTGTATATGTACACGTGTGTATATGTGTGTGTGTTTGTGTATGTGTATGTATGTGTATGTGTGTATGTGTATGTGTGTAATGTTTATGTTTGTATATGTATGTATGTGTGTATTTTACTGCCAAATTCGTTTGATATGAAAGGAATAAAGAGTGAACAATGGCGATGGATTTCGATTTTAAGTGATGAATGAGATGTAAAATGCTGGAGGAGGAGGAGGAGGGGGAGGAGGAGGAGGAGGAGAAGAGGGATAAGGAGGAAAAGGAAGAAGAGGAGGAAGAGGTGGTATGAATCTATCAGCTGTTGCTTTTTCTGCTTTCTTTCTAGATTTCAAAAACTTTTCACAATTCATTATTAAATTTCATCGCAATTAAAATCACTAGGAAACTATCGGAATTCGATGAACGATGAAAACTTATCAGATATTAGTGATCGATTCATGCTAGAGTCTTATCCTCTTATCAAATATCAATGATCGATTCATGCTAAAATCTTATCCTCTTGTCAGATATCAGCGATCGGTACTGGCTAAAGTTCACTTTTTGCTGGAAAATCATTCGATTCCATTTCATCGCGAAAGTTCCGGAAAATAATGGCTAAATTTTTGTTGTTGGACATATTCGTTTTATTACTTTAGGCGTGAAAAACTTAGCATTCTTATAATACAGATTCATTTGCTTTTGTCAGTCTATTAGTATAAATTAATTACTTTAGTAAATGTCCTTTGTGTTTTAAAAGTACATCTTATCTCCTTGTCAAAAATCATCGATCGATACTTTTCATTCGCTAAAGTTCACTTATTGCTACAAAATTATCTGATTCCATTTTGTCATGAAAGTTCTGGAAAATAATGATTCAGTCATTTTCACTCTTGCCGTTGTTTTCAAAGCCAATCGAAATCGTATTACTTATCATTATTACCTTAGAATGTAATCAAAGATTTGATATTTACAGATTATACACACAGCTTACTAAATGAAGTCTTTATCATTTACACACTACCTAACTGATAACCAAACTTAAATGAGTTCAGCTGGAAGTATTAGTCAATTCTGAAATTACCTTTAATCTAGTAAATCAGTCTGTATTTTATTTCGACTTATTTTTTCATTTGTTGGAACATTTTCAAGTTAATAATTTACAAAAAAAAAAAATGCTTTCATAACTTGAAGTTCATCTCAATTCAGGGTGAACAAATGTGATGTGAAAAATAGAGAAGCACCTCATCTTTAGCCCAATCCACCAAACTACTTGTAGTACATGATAACGATGCACTCTAACCTTTGTAATGGATGATTAATCGATTTTTTTTGATATACAGTGATAAGATTATTACCAACGAACCTAAAAACTATTTTGCATTATTCTTTTTTGTATATTTTTAATCTCGACATATTTTTTCATCCGTTGAATAAATCCAAAATGATTCCAAGCGGTATTATCCATATTACTTGCAGTCAAGTTTCCGTTTCCATCGAATTACTATTATTTTTTTAAGGCAAAAAGATATCCTCAAATATGTAAACAAATTCCGATGAATGAAATTTTAAATAAATCTATTCGTGAAAATTACTAACTTTATGAGTAGTGTAAGTATTAAGTTGAAACAAAATAATATGATTAAAAACTGATAATACAATGTTTGTTTGATAACATATTGATCTTTCAGTTTTTGAAATTGGTAAATGTTCATAGTGCAATGGGCACTAATTATTATTGCCATTTGGAAGCCAATCATTGGTGTTTCAATTCGAACTTGGGATCGAAATTTTGGAAGTGAAATTCATTTGAAGAATAGCAAAAATGCTGTGTATGATCGTCGAACTCAACGTCTCGTTGATATTATCAAGCAAAAATTAGAATTCAATGAAAGACTTTTGATACTTTTTTGCGTTAGGCGATGTTATCCCACACAATCACAGGTAATTTTTTATCTTATCTTTGCAAATTGGTGAACATTATTGATAAGGTGATTTCATTTGGTATCTTAGTTTTCATCACATTAAGATTTTGAACATTTGGTGTCAAAAATTTGACACAATTTCTTCTTTTTGTTATTCATTTTTCTTGGAAAAAAAGGAAGTGGAAGGAATAAAGTTTATGTGACATTACTATTTTCGCATCTTTTCAAAGATTCCGCGATGGATTCGTGAATTCTCAAGTCGAAATAATTTGACAGCAAAGCATGAACATTTCACTTATCAATTTTATGATAATCGACGGAATAGTCCTATTTTCAACGAACGACTGATTCATAATGGCTCAAAGCCTCATTTGGTCTATGCTATTGATGGACAATTGTTTCGCTATGATGGTAACGTAAACAATAAAGTAGGTAGTCTGTGAATTCCGAACGATTTAAATAATTACAAAATCTAAAATTTTCTTCATTTTATTAGAATATTCGCGAATATCTCAATAAAATTGTTGAAATTATTTTCAAAATCATCATCAATATTGTCCTGTAATCGTGACATGAATATATTTTTGCAGGAAGAATTCTTCTCATTCCTTGGATCTCATGAACTACTCAATGCTCAAACTGTAAACAGTTGGGAGCATTTAGAATCAATTATAAATACAGCACAGTTATGTCATGGCGAGAAGCAAGTTTTACAAATAGTTGATAATAATCGGTTAGTTTCTTTTTCTTTTATAAATTTAGATTTGATTTTTTGAAATGTTCTAATTTCTAGCGATCCAAATTAGTTACCTTAAATTGACAGTCTTTTTATCCATGACGAAGTAGATTAATTTCAATTATTCTTCACTTGAATAGGTGATTGTTTCATTAAATGTCAATTAGGATACAGATTAATTTCGTATACAACGACCGGATGTGAATGTTGTCATACAAAGTTCTGTTATTGCGGGAAACAACCGTCATCATTGATTTCATCTAACAAATATCTTTCCCTAACTATTCGAAATTTAAGTGTTGAACGTGTAAATTTTCACCCCAATTTCAATCGTGCGAGTGAAATGATGGATATATTATTCGTAGTTGTTTATTTCGTTAATTTTGTAAAACTTCATTTTTGACTTTATGAAGTTGAAGATGTCCAATGGATCATTACGAACTTGTTGTTCGTGCATTCGATGGTGTTGCCAACTACAGTTTCTACGAAATAATGACGCCACTGAACATTGACATGTATGTAGAACTCTATACTCGTCTTCCGGAACTACCATCTGTTTGTCAACTGATTTTACTCCTACAAAATGACGGTTATCTTTGGATGTCTGCAGATGTTGATCTTCATGAGGTGTTTTGAATTTTTCAATTTTAATCCAAATTTAATTCAAACAGCTAATAACATAAACTTGTCAATAATTGATGTTCACTGAATTTAAAAAGGAATTTGGTATTTTCTCTTTGTAGAAAGCTATTTTTATGTTATTAACTGTCAAACTGGATTGTTGCTTATTATCGTCACTTATGATAAACGTTTTTGTTCTTTTTTTTTTTTTAGTTTCTGATCATCGCAGTGGAAACTTTAGAAAACCTGGAATGTACTCACGGATCATCTGGTGATTGGTATCCAATTCGAGAAGAACTGACAGCTATAGAAAGAGATTTTCTTCGTGAAAATGAGCAATCATTACTGTTGAAATCGGATCCAAGCTATATCCTTGTTGGTGCTACCGGTGGTATTGCTGTTGTTGTGCTTGCAATCAGCATTTTTTGGGGACTTAGCGGTTCTACTTTTGCACAAAATTAATTTCCAGATTCTCCCTGTTTTTTTTTTTTTTTTTTTTTGTATGTAGTATTGAATGTGACAGCTGTCATCAGATATAAATGAAGAATTTTTCTAAAAAGTGATAAACATTGCATGGAAGATTGGAAGCATATCAAAATCACGATCATTTGGGAAGAGATTAGTACATAAATTTCCCTATGCTAATTTTAAGATATAAAAAGTTACTTATTGGTTTGCATAGCTTATAATGTTGCATAATTAATTTAGTGTAACGATCAAAATTGGATTTGAAGTAATAAATTAAGAAATGTTTGAAAAACTTCTGAAATCCATCTTTAGGATTACGATTTTAGAATGACAAGTAAATAAATTTGGTACGAAATTTTTGTTTTATTTTGTGGATAAATAAAGTAAGCGAAATGATTGATATCCATACATTTCCAATTTGAATGGAACGTCATTTTTTCATTATAAGAGCTATATTTATTGCATTGTACGAACACCATTTCAATATCTTTCAAATCATTTGTATAAAGTATCAATAAATCAATTAGCAAGCGAATTGGTTTATCATGTATTAATTGTATTAATTATTAATATACCAAATGTAATGAAGTAACAACCACTTCAATCATTTTATGACTAATCAGTTTAAAGTTGTCAAAAACGATCATTTTTATGAAGATACGTTAAAAGCGAATTTGCTCAAAATAAACCATTAATCATTTAAAATAGTATACTAAAGAATATTAAATTATTTTAAAATATCAAAAATCCTTCATTGATTAAAGTCAATTTCTAAAATTTTATTACTAAAATTGGGAATTAAATGTGACGTTAATTATTACATGCATGCAAAAAGCATAAAATATCAACGAGCAGAAGAACATTTATGCTTCAAATGATCTAATGATTGCATAATCCTCTTCAAGAACCCCACTTCAATTACCAAAGATTTTCATTAATGACAAACTAGGCGACAAAGAATAAAATCAGGTGGCATTTTTCCTCCTTTTCAGTTGCTTACTTTCAATTTAAAACTTTAAAGAAGGGATTTATGTAAATTTTGCGTTGGCAACAATTAACACTGTTAATAGAACTGCAAAAGTTAATACTTCAAAGTAAAACTGGTATAATTAAAGTGGAAAGGTTGTGATGTTTTGAATGTCTAAATTAATCATGAATATTTTCGTTACAGTGAAACAGAAAAATCGAAAAGTTTTTGAACATAATTTGTGTAAAAAAAAAAAAAGAAAAAAAGGAACAGTTAATATGCTTAAAATATGAAATATTTTGAACTTTAAACGCTTACAATAGTTTGATGATAAATGTAAAATCATGTCACACACACAAACACACACATACGCACATATACATGCATACACACATATGCGTATACGTACACACACATACACATACAAATACATAAACACACATACATACACGTGTACACAATCATACACATACACATACACACATGCACGTATTCACATGTGATGATGTAATCTATTTTTGCTTTAATTGGTTTGATGGAGTATTTGTATGTGTCTGTCTATCAGTGTGTGTGTGTGTGTGTGTGTGTGTGTGTGTGTGTGTGTGTGTGTGTGTGTGTGTGTGTGTGTGTGTGTGTGTGTGTGTGTGTGTGTGT